CTCAAAACACCAAAAAAAATATACAGAAACAAAACTTTCCATCAAACTGGAATTTTAGTTTAAAACAAAAATCAAATGGGTTTTTAAATATCTGTTACCCATGAATGAAAATATGGCTTAGTCTCAAATGAGTACTAAATTCTGTCAAAGTTTGACTACATTTTCCAAATCAGAAGAGAGAAGAGGAATGTGCCCAATGATGAACAATAGACTACTATCCTAATTTTCATTATTGGCAGACAAATTTGAATCCTTGAGGCTTCCAAATTTCTTAATAATTTTGCTTTCTGAAGACACCCACAGTAGTGTATCCCTTCAAACCCCCTATTGAAACAGCTATTCCTACATGAAGACCACCTATCTGCTCTTGACAAGCATCCTCTAAGTTCTCCCTGGACATCCTTTTCCCAGAATCCTCAACATCCATGGAGGAGATTGGCTTTTAGATACTGTTCTCCTCTGGTTTATCCACCAGTGATTCCATTACAAGAGACCAAGGATTAAAAATGCTTGTTACATCTTGTCTAGTACGTAAAAAGGCACACCACTCAACTCATCTCTGCTGCTTCTTCTGTATTGACTGTCTTTGTGACCCTTGGTGTCCTTCCTCCCTATGGATGCCTTGCTATCTGTAGATAGCACTTAGCTATATGCCTCTGCCCCCTTTCCTGGGAATATAAATAGTGCTCAGCACCTAATTTTCTTTTTTCATGCCTCATATCACCTTTGTTCCCCATCTTTAAGCTCTCTATTGGGGCGTGTGGTCTTCCTTAAGTCTGTGGCATCTTTACAGCAATCAATTATCCTTTGTAATTACTCCTCAATTACAGATCCCTGTTCTTTCCCATTAAGGACCACACAAGAACGAACTTCTCATGGGCGGGTGCATCAGATCTCTTACTTAGCCACAATTTGCCAATCTGCAGATCTAAGCTTCAGAGAACAACCACTGAATTTGAGGTGTTTGTGCCTTTCAGCCAGGACGGCTAGCCTCTCTGAGCCCCCCTAGCTAAAAGAGACTGAGCACTGCTGTCCTCTGAACTTCTGCTCTGGGTTCCCCTAGTCTCTGCCAAACACAAAGGAGAACATTGGTCTGTGATCGAAGGGGGCAGGGAGGGGGGCAGATGTCACACATCCTTAAAATCCCTGGCCCAACTGAGCTCTTTCTCCTAGCTCCCACGTATCTTAGTAACAGATATCCACTTTGTCATTCGGTGGTTGTAAAATGAAGCTAATGGCCCTTTCTCATTACTTCCAGCTACACTGAGCTTTTAAAACTCATCACTTTCGTGTGTCCCCTTTATTGGTTGATGTAATTTTTGCTGTTACAACTGTGATTTCCTGCTTTACGAGACATTTTCCCTAAAAATATACATGTTCTGAGTTTATGCACTGCATACTTAGAATTTTAGATGAGTAGAGACTGGGCACTGGAGAAGAGCATGCCTCTTTAGAACCATGATTTAAAATTCCACTCAGCAGCCCTTTGGAGATGTAAATTGAGGGAGCTGGTCTTCTTTTGGACAGCTTAATGATCTGTAGTTAATCATAAGAGGCTGATGGGCAGATGCTGTACAGCTGGGCTTAGGGTAGCCTTGCCCAGCTCTCCAAATGCCAAGGTGATTATAGCCATCAAGACCCAGATTCCAAGCAGGAAGCAAGAGCACCAAGAGTGGGCAGCAGACTTTCAGTATCACCCACCTGCCTGGCCCCAGACACACAACACCTCTTAGGAACTCCAGAGCAGGAAGAGTGCTGGACTTAGGACAATTTCTCTTCCTACTTGAATGCACACGATGTCACTAAATTTGTGAAAATTTTAGTATAATTTCTTGAACCTAGACAATGAGCATCAGAGGAGAAAGAAACTTAGATGTGTGTGTGCAGGGAGTGGGAGTATATAGAATATATGTGACGTGAAAGCAGAAGGGGACCAGTGGAGGAGGGGAGGGAACCAGCCAGAGGGGAACAGAGGATAGGGGAGAGGACTTAGAAGAGATGGATCAAGGAAAATAAAATATATATGAGAATACCATAATGAAAATCATTACTTTGTATAATGATTTAAGAAAAAAATCAAAGGGGGAGTGAGGGAGGAAGAGAGGAAGGGAGGAAGGCTTTGAAAAGCAAAATGTGAGTTTGAGAGTCATACAGTGTATTATTACTGGAGGCAGTTGCTAAGTGTTTGTGAAAAGTTGGTCTGGGCTGGGGAATGGCTCCGTGAGTAAAACATACAATCATGACAACCAGGGGGCTGAGCCCCAGAATCCACATAAAAACCAGAAGCAGTAGCACGGTGTCTGTGATCTTAGTGTATCTGTTCTGGGAGATGGAAGATGCAAACATGGGAGAAGTATCCAAAGCTAGGGGGCCAGAGTTAGCCTGGCTTATGTTTGAGACCCTGTCTCAAAGTGGAAAGTGAGAAGTGATATCCATGGTTGTCCTCTGACCTCCACAGTGCCCTCATTCTCTCCCTTCCTCTCTTTCTCTCTCTCTCTCTTTCTCTCTCTCTCTCTCTCTCTCTCTCTCTCTCTCTCTCTCCCTCTCTCACATGAGATAGGGGGGCATTTGTTTCAGACTTGTGTTTGGACCTCCCACCCAATTACAGTTTTCGATATATTTTTATCTTTCCTCAAAAAACCCAGGTGAATTTAACAACTATAACAACAATAACTAAAACAATCCCATTCAAAAGTAACTGAAAGACTTGAACAGACATTTCACCAAAGAAGCACATGAAGAGAGTCAAGGTCATTCCCTAGAGAGCACATATCAAAAGCACATGGTGTTACTGTCACATCTGTTAGGTATTACTGTCACATCAAGAGCCAGAAAAACACAAGTCAGTTTCAGGGGCTGAGGCAAAAGAATCACTTGAAATCAGAGAGTCAGTGATAGCCTGGGCAACAGGGAAAGCCTGTCTCCAAATCAAACCGAAATCATAAACATTAGTGAGGATGTGGAGAAACTGCAACCTTTGTGTGCTGTTGGTAGGTGTGTAAAAAAAAATCACACAGTAGTTGTAGACAGTAGTATGGCAGTTTCTCAAAAGTTAAAATTATATCAACCATATGGTTCAGTAATTCTGCTTTTAGCTGTGTACTTCAAACAATTGAAACCAGTATCTTCAAGAAGTATCTGTACATTTGTGTTTCTAGCAAAATTATTTACAATAACCAAAAGGTAGACGCAACCCAAGTGTCCACAGTAGAATGACTACGTAAACACAATATAGTGAATCCTATGCCTAAAATAGTCCAATTGACAGAAACTAAGAACAGGATGGTGGTTGTCAGGGGTGAAGAAAGAGAAAATGGGGAGTTACTGTTTCTTGAAGAGTTTTGGTTTTACACAATAAAAGAGTTCTGGGGAATAGATGCTGGTAAATATTGTACAACAATGTTAAAACAGTTAAGGATGCAGAAATGATTATTTCTCAAAGATGGTTAACATAGTATTTATGTTACACAATTATGTGTTTCACTATAATATTTTAAAAAGCATGAGTGGCTACCCAGCTATGATCCCTTAAAACTATAATAACAACCAACCTAGCAAGACATATGCATGGGTACAATAGTGGCATGAATGTTATGGAGGTAAATGTCTGGTTTCCAGTTAGAGTTAGAGCATGGTCTACAGGAGGAAATACATGCCTAGCATCTGACCAAGAGCCCATGGCTGGGGAGCTCACCTACTACTATTTCTTACTTTGCTAAGTTGACTCAGTATCAGACTGCCCTCCAAATTTCTATCTCTATACCCGTAGAGTATTGTAGCTCTCAGACCCCATCAGAGAAAATTTGTTCAGGAAATAGTGGTTAACACAGAAACTCAGAACTAGTCAAAGTACAGAGATTAAGTATCTGAAGAGTGCTTATCCACAAATGGTGGGTCAAGATCACACTCCTCCCACAAGGATTGAGGCCTATCATTGAAAAGGATGTGGAAAGATTATAAAAGCCAGAGGTCAGGGAAGAGCAGATGGAAACAGTGCCTTCTGGAGATGACAGGACCACTGCACTCACGAACTCACAGCAGCTGGAGTTGCCTACAAAAGACCTGCATGAGAAAAGAAAAACAGTCTCCATTCTACAATAGCATGTGGAGGGACTCAAAAGCCCCTTCCCCAGGTGAGATTTGTTGAGAATGACAGCTGCTGTGGAAGGAAGAGAGTTTTGTTTTGTTTTGTTTTGTTTTTGGAGACATCTCTCCACAGCCTTGGCTGTCCTGGAATTTACTCTGTAGATCAGGCTGGCCTCGAACTCATGGAGATCCACCTGCCTCTGCCTCCCAAGTGCTGGGATTAGAGGGTGTGCACCACCACCAGCCAGCCAAAAGAGAGTTTTTTTTTTAAGGCTAGTTCGACCATGCTCCTGTGAATGGCACCACCCCAGGAGTATGTGGGTAGCACAAACTAGACTCAGTCAATTATACTAAAAAAAAACGAAAAAAAGAAGAAGACATGAAGCTGGAAGGAGTGTAAGGGGTGTGAGGTATCATGGGAAGACTTAAGGGGAAGAGTGGAAACAAATAACAAAATACACTGTATGCATATATGAAATTATGAAAGAATTAATAAAAAGTATATTTTAAAACGTTTAATAAATAGGAGGGCTAGAGAGCTGAGAAGTTAAGAGCACTGGCTGCTCTTCTGAAGGACCTTGGTTCGATTCACCCCCCATTGCAGCTCACAAATGCCTGTAACTCCAGTCACTGGGAATCCAATACCCTCTTCTGGCCTCTGTGGGCACCAGGCACCCACATGGTACTCAGACAAACATGAAGGCAAAACACCCATACACATAGAAATAATTAAATTTTAAAATTACATATATAACTAAAACAAACAAACACCCAGTGTGAGTGAGTGGCTATCCCCTGAGAAACCTGGGCATTGGAGGAGCAAAAGGAAAACAAAGGAGGAAAGCCAAAAGAGGGACTTGATCTCGTCTTCATAAAGAACTAATTATAATTTGCTTTTTTTTTTTTTTTAACAGAGTCACTTTTCTCTCAAGAAAGGAGCTGCAGCCCTAGGGATCGGAACAGACAGCGTGATTCTGATTAAATGTGATGAGAGGTGAGCAAGAAATCTGCATCCCTGTCAGTTAACCATTTAAAAATGCCCCACAGATAACTCTTTGTCTGAAAGAGGAGATGACTTTTGGGCAGCAATCCTGCTTCGGTCTGAGACAGGGCCACACATTGTTTCTTTGGAGCACAGACTTGCTTGGAGTCTCCAGATGTTCCTTGAAACCATGGAGCCTTTCACAACTCCTGGATGAATTGGAACCTTTGTTAAATCAATCAAAACTGTCCTCAGTAGCTGGTGTAGAGGGTCATTTATCACCTGGGCACATTAGCAACAGGCGATTGAAGCAGTGACTGATGCTGAGGCAACACTGAGCAGCATGGATTATGTAAACTTGCTGAAGTAAGTGATGCCCCCATCAGCTCAACAGCTTTGGGCAGCAACCAAAAGTTCTTCTTGGGGAAACTGTCTTAATTGGTACCCACAATTCACAGCTTTCTAGAAAATAGTTATGATTCCACTGTGGGCAGAGCAGTAAAAAATCATCTTTAGATAATTTGTGTAAAGAACCATTGACTGATAAACCTGGAACTTATAAGAAATCAGACACAATCTTTAAAGGATTGAGTAAGAACGTTCACTAAATTAAAAGAAAGCAGGACAATGAGCCATTTATCATTCCAAAGGTGTTTATCAAACAGCTAAGCTCTGGCTGCCCACCATGTCACCAGGCTACAGAAAACCTCAGGGTGTCATCTCCATTCTCTGACAGCAGAGGATGTAGGTGGGAAGATGCCATAGATTAGAAGGCAACTCTGGCATGGTTGGATTTTCAGTGTAGGGTATACTATGTGTGATGCTGAGGTAGGGGAAACTTGGTGAAGCAATTGGGAGGAATCTGGAGTTTTCCAGGGGAGAGAGTGTTAGATGGGCAAGGAAAAGGCAGGGACAATTACAGAAGACAGGATACCTCAGGTATATCCACAAAAGGAGTAGGATGGAACACATTATGAGGCTCAGGGGGTGGGCCTGTCAGAGAAGAAAGAGAATCGTGGCAAATATGTTTGGCCATGTGAATGTGGAAAGGTCTAAAAACCCCCAAGACAGATTGACAGATGTATTGACCTCTAAGTGGTGATATTAACGACTGTCACTTTACTTACTGCCTGATTTTATTTATTTGCAATAAACACCTTATTTTATAATGGGGGAGGGGTGGACACAGTAGTGCTCGGCTGTAACTCACTAACTCGGTAGACTGAGGCAGGAGGGTTTCAGCTTCAAGACAATTGAGCTACATGTAAAGACCTCGTTTTAAACAAGTGAGGATAAGAGAAAGAGAGACAAAGATGGAGATGGAAATGGAGAGAAGGAGACAGAGACGGACATACAGACAGATGAGGACAGAAATGTATGTGCCATTTTTCCTTTGAGTCGGGGAGAACTGAACCTATCACTAACCTGGATAGATCTGCAAACAAGGCAACTTGAAAATGCTTCTCTCCAAACATGAAGTGACAGAAACCACCCTCCAGGAAGCAAGGGAGGTCCAGGAAAAGGGATCTAGCAATAAGACAGTAAGGAAGCGATGAAGGCTTGCAGTAAGGCAAACAGTTTTCAATAGAAGACCTGTCTCATATTCCTTCTTATGAGATACATAAGAACTAAGATTTGAAGTTCTTTGCAAAAAATAGGCATCAGCTTTGTATTTATTTTCTTTATTTTATTGCTAGAATAAATTGCTGAAGGGAAATGTATTTCTAAATATAACACAATAGAATATAGAGAGTTAAATTTAATATTTTTATGCATATACAGCTAATCTAAGTAAGAAACCAATAATTTAGAGAAGATCACCCAGGCAGACCCTGGGCCTCTGGCCTACTTAGTCAACAGCCTAGTTAACAGATCTCCCAACATGGAATCCCAGTGGGATGACAGGTGACCTGTGACAGCATGGGGAGCTATGGTCTCCACAAATTAAGACATCAGTAATGCTGTCTTAACTATAATGCTCCAGTGGAATCAGGTGTCACCATGGAAGTGGCCTTGAGTGAGGTGGCTGCAGCAAGGGTCCAGCTGCCTGATGGCAGATTAATCAGAAATAGTCATGCTCAGAAGGAAAGGGTAAGCCTGGAAGAAGACAGAAAGAGGACAAGATGCAAGAAAAGGGACCACAGACAGGCCTTCCAGCAAGAAGCCCCAAAGGGTATCATTAGCCAGCAAGAAGCAGAGAAAAGTGCAAGAAAAGGGGAATGCTGGGAAGGAACTCGGCGAGATACAGAATCACTAACTGGCCGGACATCCTTAATTTTGAAGTTTTTTTTTTTTTTCAACTATTTTAGAACCCATTTGAGAGACTGAATGTAATGAGTCTCTTTCTGTATTGGAGATTTTTTTATAAATTATGAAAGCTCAGCCTATAGCTTAGGTTTGTTCCTCACTAGCTCTTATAACTTCATTTAACCCATTCCTATTAATCTACATTTTACCACATGGCTTTTTAGCTTTCTTTCATTCTGGATGTCCAACTCCTTCCATGGCTCATTGGCTCATTGGCATCTCCCCTGTGCCTTGATTATGCTCTTACATCCTCACTCTTCCAGAAGTCGCACCTATACCTTCTGCCTAGCTACTGGCCAATCAGGTCTTTATTAAACCAATTACAGCAATATATCTTCACATAGTGCACAAATAATTCACAACAACTGAACAATGCTGTGCAGTTTTGACCAAAAAAGCTACACTGCTAGGTGTCCCCTCATGTCTGTCCCCTGGGAAGCACTGAGGGTGAGGAGTCATCAGACAGTGGGGACCTGGGGCCTCTTCTCCTTATGTTCAGGAGCTTTGGGGAAGGAAAGGATGGGGGAACAGCATGAAAAAGAAGGAAACAGATTCCCTGTTTTTCTAGGAAAGAAAAAAAAGGATAAGAAACATTAAGAAAAAGAAAGCCTGGGGGAGGGGTGGAAGGATTGTAAAGTGGGAGGTAAAGCAAAGAGGAGAATGCAGAGAACAAAATGCATTATAATTTTACCACCAAAAGCAGTACTTGGTTACAAAAAAAAAAAAGAATAGTGAAAATTTTCCACCTGAAAACCTTTAAAAACCCTGGAGGGGATTATTGTCTAAACCATGGAGGGTTCTTTTCTAAACATTTAGGTTGGTTCTTTCTTTCTTCTTTTTTCCCCTTCTCTTTGTCTATTTGTGATCACGTTTTCTTTTTTCCCTAGATATGATAATGTAAATATTTCCCATGTTACTGAAACACATATGCATTGTAACAGGTAATATCACGAAGTACTATAGTCACCCACAGGGCTGCCGATGGAGCTCACTCTGACTTCCCATCAGCTCAAGTGCTAGCTCGGGCAAGCGCTTCTTTGTGCTTTAGTTTCTTTATCTGAAAAAAAAAAAGGAAAGAAGGGATGCTGCTTTATGTAACAACAAAGACAAAATGTATCTGGAATGGGATTAGAACAAATATTCATCCGCTAGTGTGCATCTATTCCTGACATTACTACCAGAAGCCATTTTTCTGTTCTTTAGTGAGTATCCTTTGTCCATGCACTACAACTTAAGTCATGTTGGATGTTTTTTTAAAAGGAGTACACTGAGCCAGAGTGCTAACCAAAGCTGTGGCTAACACACTGCCTCAGCAGGATCAGACCAGAGTAGGGTAAGGAAAAGTTAGTAACTGTACAAAGTCTTTCATGTTGCATTGATAATTAGTAGTTTTTAGCTTGCATTTAAGAATGAGATTGCAGATTTAATGATTTAAGTGAAATCCAAGTGTTGTGGACAGGAGCCAAGGAAGCAGCCTTGGACAGGCAGAGCTCCAGTTTAGAAAACCACTGAGGGGTGGCAAATCGAGGCCCTGATGTGCTTCCCAAAATGGAAACCTAGATCTGCTCCCTATAAACTCTCACAGCCTGTGCCTCCCTTTCTTCCTCACTCTCTCTAATTAGCATAGAAATTAATGGGTTTGTTATGGCATTTTTCCTATATACTTTCTATTAGTCTTTCTGCTTTAGTTCCCCTCAGCCCTCCTCCTGCTCTTCTCTGGCTCTAGTGGTCACCTCAGCCTTCAGGTCACATGTATTTACTTTTGGTCCCTCCCCACTTAAGAGCTCCTTTTCCTTTCTAATGATTTTTTTTTAATTTTGTGACCTATACTCATATCCTTGCACAAATATAAAAATTAAAACATAGAATCTATATAGGAGAGAAAGCATCAGGCAAGTGCCTCCTTGTGCCTTGGTTTCTTTGTCTCATTCCTTGGATCTACTCTTTCTAGGTGGTCACATTAGTCTAGTGATGGCTGGGGTGGTGGGCTTGCTCTTATTTTTCAGTGAAAAGTTCACAATTGGGGAGGACTTTTCTAGTGAAGGAAATCAGAGTGCATGTTTGGATGGACAGACCCACAGCCACACGTGGAGGAAGATCCCCACAGTTAGCCTCCTTTGGCATTCATAGGGACTAGCTTTGGTGATGTGTTTAAAGTGAAACTCGGTCCTTAGTTGAAACCATAAAGGAGATATGCCACATATTTAAGTTTTCATTTGATTAGACTGTGTTCTCCTGACTTGAAAAAAAAAAAACATTCTAAGTTTATATATACTGTCTTAGTTAGGGTTCCTGTTCCTGCGAAGAGACACCATGACCACAGCAGCTCTTATAAGGGAAACATTTCACTGACTTACAGTGTCAGAGGTTCAGTCCACTACTGTCATGGTGGGAAGCAGGCAGACATGGTGCTGGAGAAGGAGCTGAGAGTTCTACATGTGGATTTGAAGACAGCAGGAAGAACAACACTAGGCCTGGCTTGACTTCTGAGACCTCAAAGCCTGCCCCTGTAACACGCTTCCTCCAATAAGGGCACACCTATTCCAACAAGGCCACACCTCCTAAAATAGTGCCACTCCCCATGAGCCTATGGGGCCATTTTCATTCAAATTACCACATATATTCAAATAAAAATAGAGAAAGATAGGGCAGTATAAACGTTCAGTTCATCCCTTCTATCTTAATGGAAATTACCATAACTGAAA